GACAGACGACTTATTAATTCCTGACGTGAATTCTTTCGGATATCGAAAAGAAAAATAAGTTTTCTTGAAAACGGTTCGTTTCACGGCATTCCAACAGGAGTACCTTTTTCATGAAGAAGTGTTTGGAAATCATATTCTGGGACTAGCAAGGAGATACAGTGTGAGACAAAAAAGATTTGGAACATTTTTGTAGCACGGGTTACAAGTTTCGCACCTCCCTGTATATTATATCATTTTTTTCCATTCCTTCAAACGATTCATGAGATCAAATTACCTATTGGTACAAAATTTCATGGTTCTAGGATGAATGGTAACAGAGATAATTGAAGAAAACTGCATTCAGCGAGCTACCTTCAGAGGGCTGTAGTGCCCTTAGGAAGCATTTTCGGACACCTGTTGACCTTATTTTCATCTGTAGATCGACCTCCCGGAGTATACGGACGTTATTCTGGGCCACCCTGTATAATATCACTATTACCTAGGGACAAAGCGCCAGATCCGGTGGTAATGATATTCTTCACTGACAAGGAGAATATTGATTTTTTTTCACCACTAGCGATATATTTCAATCATCATGCATACAGGGTGTTTCATAATATATGCGCAGGACTTCAGGATGTGATAACTCGTCAAAAAATATGAAAATATTTTTATAAACTTACCCTCTACAATGCACCATTTTCGAGATACAGGGTGTTGAAATTTGAAAAAAAAAATCGTTTTTTGCGAATATCTCTGGAACCGTTTATCGCACAGAAAACAGCTTTTGTAAGCATTGTCTATTCATAATAAGCGATGTTTTGTGCGGGATTTATTTATATTAAAGACATAATCGATGAAGATTTTGTAGGGGTAGTTAGTGTTTTTCTCCGCAACTTGTATACGCTGGAAAAAGTACAGTTTTCAGTCGCCTATTTGAACGGCCAATGGTTTCTACACAAAAAAGATAGAAGTTGACATTCAAAAAATGAACTGGCCAGCTTGTTCGCCTTATCTCAACCCAATATATGGGACATGCTTGGTAGACAGATCAGGGATCGCGAAGGCACTGGTTACAGTTGATGAACTTCGTATAGCCCTTCAGGAGGAATGGCACAATATTCCTCAGGATGCTATTCAAAACCTTATCGACAGTATGAACCAACAAATGCAGACAGTTATAGGAGTTAGACGTGATAATACAAAATATTGAGCTAATTTCTTGTAGAAAGTACGTTTTTTAGGTTGATTAAATTTACAGTTGAAATTTAATTTTGAAGTAGAATTGAAGTTTGCATGGGTAAATTTTCCATTTTTACAAGTTTAAGTTCATTTTGCTTTGAAAAATGATCAAGTGCACTTGAAGGCAAACGAACTATCACAATGTTGGAATGGAATGGTTTTCAACAAAAATTGATATTTTGAAAGAATTTGGCCACCAAATTATTCCACAGGGTGTTTTGAGGTCAGGGTTACACAACAATTTTTCAATTAACCGTGTATAATGACTGATCTGTCAGCATTTAACAGCATTGGATATACAAGTTCAAGTCATTTTATCTACAATTTATTGGAAAAAAATTCAAAATCGAATAGGGAATTGAAAAGTTGACACTTCAAATTTGATCGAATATTAACTTGTTGCGTTTTTTTTGCATATGAGTGTACAGGGTGAACAGTTAAGGGTAGTGAGCGGCCATATCTCATAAGATATTGGTCGTATAGATTTGAAAAAAGAAATCATATTAAAAGTCGCCAAGAGAAATTGCTGGAAATTATTTTCGAGTTTATCAAACGTCCGGTAGAGGACGCAACAACCAACACCAAGTAGGAAAATGGGATTTTTATAGAATTTTGTCTAATGAAAGTATATTGATGATATCATCATCTTTTTTACTGACCATTTCCCTACATTTTTTGTCTGAAACGTTTCGTTCTATCTATCAAAATAAAGCGGTGAACCAAGATTTTTCCCGTTTATTTCGACCGATTCTAGCAAACTTAGGCTCTTATGGAAGAACATAAATTGCCCTATAAAATGCTTATTTGGTTTCGAATTTTTGACTCTGGCTGTCGCCGCTAGATGGCGTTAACTGAAATGTAAGCAAATTTTTGAGTTAAAAAAAACAAATAAAATGGTATATTAATTTTTATATATTTCAAAAGAGGATAAATCTCTCTATAACTTAATGGAAATAATTTATCATCTGCCTTTTTTTGAACCGATGATATTGACCAAAATATAATTTTATTACATTAAAAAATGATACGCCAAAATAAAATTCAGTTTTGTAATCTCTCATTAGTTGCTAACAAAAAGAACAACCTTACTTTTTTCTGTTAGACAAACAGTTTTGGATTGAAAAAATAAAATAGGTTTACATGGGGCGCCCAGTATGAGAACCTATTTCATTTTTTCAATCCAAAACCGTTTGTCTAACAAAAAAATGTCAGGAGGCTCTTTTTGTTAGTTAGATAGATAGATAGATAGATAGATTTTATATATCCTTTGTGCTACAACATGTATAGATAGGACAAGTCACACATACTGGTAAAGGGTACAAAACAACAATTTAAAAACTGAACAAATATATAAGTATTTACATAGAAAGACATACTAATAATTCAATTTAAAATATAAAATTATTCAAATAGTACCTACCGCTATCTTAAATTCATCTACAGAATAAAAACAATTATCAGCCAGGAACATTTTCAATTTTTTCTTGAAATTTTGAGGATTCATTTTTTCAATATTATTTGGTAAGAGGTTGTAGAGACGAACTCCTGCAAACATGGGGCAAATTTCATATTTTGAATGATGATGTTTATTAGTTGTGATCATATTTCTGTTCCTGGTATTATGACTGTGAATTTCTATTCTTGTTCTTAATTTCCCTTTCTTGTATTGTATAACTGTTAATAGTTGCAGAATGTATATACTTGTTAGGGATAATATTTTATTTTGGCGGAAGATATCTCTACAGGAAGTTCGATAATCTAGATTGAAAATTAACCTCAACAAAGCTTTTTGTTTTATGAAAATTCGATCTGTCCTTGTAGACAGTCCCCAAATGGTAATGTTGTATTTGATAATAGAGTGGAATTTAGCATACACTGATATCAGTGATTTTGTATCCAACTTACATTTCAGAGATTTAATTAAGTAATATTAAGTTTTTTAAATGTAAAATCAATATGATCATGCCATGTAAACAGTGGATCGATCATCGTTCCCAAGAATATTGTTGAATCAGATAGCCTCAGGGATTCATTTTGACAATTGAATACGAAATCATGTAGGGTTCTAGATGAATATGAAAATTCCATGCAGACTGTTTTTTTCATGTTAACAATCAGTCTGTTCTTATAACACCAGTTACTAAATTCAACTAATGTTCTATTAACTAGTTGATACATATCTTCGGCAGTTTCACCCGATAATATGATCGAGATATCGTCCGCATATAAAAATATTTTTCCATTGTTTATTCCATTAGGGAGGTCACAGCAAGATTAACAAAGGCCCAAGTACACTGCCTTGTGGAGTCCCTGTCCTTGTAACATACTTTTATGACATTGTGTTATTTTGCTTTAAACGGAAACATCTGTTGGATAAGAATGACCGAAGTAGTTGATTAATATTTCTTAACTTGAATAGCTTTTCTGATATCATATCTATATTTATGGTGTCGAAGGCTCTGCTCAAATCGAAGAAAATTCCAATAGCTACTTTTCGTTCATCAACCAAGTTGTGAATATGCTGTGTGAATTCAAGCGTTGCAGTTTCTGTCGAATGCTCTCGTCTAAATCCGTGCTGGCATTCTGCTAACAGGTTGAATTTTTCCAAGTAACTATTGATTCTAGAAGATATTAACTTTTCAAGAATTTTAGAGAAAACACTTATAATTGATATGGGACGATAGTTCTCATTCTTCAGAATGGGGATTATGACAGCAATTTTAAAGATATCTGGATATTTTCCGAATGTTATACATAAGTTCATTATATGCGCTAATGGGCCAGCCAGTATATCAACACATTCTTCGATTCTTTTTGTAGAAACTCCATCATATCCTGAGTAATGAGATAATAATCTTCTTCACTTCATCTGATGTACCAGGTTCAAAAAATAAGGTGGTACTTACATTCGGTACTGATGTACAGGAAACCATGTCATTGTTATTTTCAGCAAAATGCATATTCAGCTTTTTCTGTACTATGGTTGAAAAGTATTCGCCAAAAGTTTCGGAACTTCTGTTTTTTCAGTGATAGTTTTCAGTTCATAATTTAGAATAATTTGTTTGTCTACGTCAATGTTTCTCGGTTTCTTAACTATATTCCACAGTGTTTAATTTTTGTTATACGACTCATGGATTTTTTTTTCATGAAATAAACAACTTGTTCTTGTCATATTTCATTTTCAGTCGTTTTCTTGGCTAGTTTATAAGTGGTATTACCGTTTTCAAGAATATTTAAATTCTTCAGATGATTTAGATTTAGCAACTAATAAGAGACTACACTTATTTTGATTTTCATAAAAAACAGTGGCATGCCATATTCAATGTGATAAAATAATATTTTGGTCTATAACAACGGTTCAAAAAAAGGTAGATGATAAATTATTCTCATTAAATTATACAGAAGTCCATTCTTTTTTAAAACATATAAAAATTAATATACCATTACTTTTGTTTTTGTTTTCAACTAAAAAATTTGCTAACATTTCAGTTAACTCCATCTAGCGGCGACAAAAAGTCAAAAATTCGAAACCAAATAAGCGTTTTGTAGGGCAAATTATGCTCTTTCATATGAGCCTAACTTTGCTAAAATCGGTCGAAATAAAAAATTCTATAAAAATCCCATTTTTCTACTTGGTGTTGGTTGTTACGCCCTCTACCGGACGTTTGACAAACTCGAAATTAATTTCCAGCAATTTCTCTTGGCGACTTTTATCATGATTTTTTTTCTCAAATCTATACGACCAATAACTGATCACCCTGTATAATATTCCTAGTTACCTGTCGCCTTCCTCGGGTGGCCCCCGTTGCCCTGCCGCTCTCCCGGGCAGCCGGGCGGCGGTCCCTCCCCCAGCTCCGCCATCAGCGACAGGTACTCCTCGTCGATCTTGGCCCTGTCGCCGAGAGGGGGCGGCGGCCCGCCCAGGCCGGGCCGCTTCGAGCGGCAGTCGCGCGCGATGTGGCCGGCGGCGCCGCAGCTCGAGCACACTATGCTGTTGGTGACGTTCGGCTTGTCGGGGCACTGGAAGAGAAAGAATGGTATAGTCCAACGAATGGATATCAAGAAACATAAAGAAAACAACATAACTAACGAGTACTGAAAAGGAATATTCTCAGATACATTATGAACATAATAAAATGGATATATACAGGGTGTCCCAGTATACATATTTCAATGAATTATCTCAGCCATTTCGAAAACTTCATGATCTCCAATTCGTTCAAAAAAGCTCCAACTGAGAAAAACAAAAATTGAAGACCGGAAGTGACTTCAACTTTTCACTGTGTTTGATGCCCTCCGCTATGCGCCGTGCATCAAACTTCACCTTTGCTCTCTTGATATATAAATAGCTATTAATCACTACTCACCAGCCATGATTTGTGATCTGTAGCTCCACAATTGTTACACCTCAATCCATCATTCTCCCTCAAAGTACCATTCAATTGAGCCAATTCCCTTAGCTGCATCCTCCTCAGATCGTTTTGATTCTCAGGCACTTCCACACCCTGTCTTATAACTTCTTTGATCTGTTGAAAGATAAATTTATAGACTGGATAATGATAAAATAAATAATACATTTTATTTTTTGATGTACATTGTACAGGGTGTCTCCGTATATTTTGTTTCCTACCTACAGCTTTAACTATATGAGATGGAAACAAACTTCAAATACGAAAGTTTTTGATATCATCTGTACTATCTTTTACACTCCTTAAAAGAATAAATGGAAATCGCAAAATGTTAAAAAAAAATTCAAATGATTTTTTTTTAATTGAACCCTGTATATTTTCAACTGTCCACAAATATTTATATTCCGGGTGTTCCAGTATATCTGTTCCAATGAATTATCTCAGCCATTTCGAAAAATTAAAATTCGAAAATTTCAACTGAGAAAAACAAAATTTTAAAGTCACTTTAAAGTGTGTAAAGTGTAAAGAATGTTTGAAGGAAAGAAATATAGATATATTGAAAAAATATCAAATTTCAACTTATCTTTGGACGTTTCGGGAACGAATCTGCTACCGTTCTCAACATGAAAATGCAAAATATTTTTCTTTGGAAGTTGTGCTCTGCTTATAGTTTGACACTGAGAAGTGATTTGCCCCACTACAAATATATTGAAATAATATCGAGCCGTTTTTCCTTTAATTAGAATTGACTCAAAGTTGCCAATACATCATATAGTTTGCTGTGGACACAGCAGAAATGCCATGGAAACAAAACAGGCATTTTTTGATGTCTCTATCGGTTTTTCAATAAAACTGGGTTATTCCAGGGAAGAATACGAAATAGTTAGATGATATTATTATGAAAATATTGCAAACATTTCACTATTAAAGCAAGAATTTAGTCGAGAACGGCTTAAGGGAACATTGCCAAACTATATGTATATATTAGTGAACATAAGAAAAAGATTCTTCACAACAGTTGAAAATATGGGTGTTTCATTTGGAAAAACTGATTTGGACTATTTTTTTTTCATTTTGCGATTTGCATTTGTTTATTTAAGGAGTGCCAAAAGATGGTACAGATGAAACCCAACAACTTTCATAAGTGAAGCTTTTTTCCACCTTTTATAGTTGAAGGGGTAGGGATAGGTGCCAAAATATAAAGAGACGCCCTGTACTGTGTCTATCAGTTAGTTGGCATCATATGAGAAAGACTGTTACTTATAATTTATTTTGAAATTAGACTTTGGCGTCAAGTTTTGCTTTAAAAAGGATGAAAAATAGCTTATTAGTTCGTGGTCACGTGACTCCCTACATGTTAAAATTAATTTTATTTTTCAAAATAATCGCTGGAAATAGTCTTGTTTTTTCGAATTTTGAGAAAGTTTACCAAGAAAAGTTGTTCCTAATCCGATTTTACACATGTGTGTCGAATTTAAACGTTCAATTGTAACTTTTAGATTTTTAAATTTTTTTAATAACAACGAAATTTTTGAAATATTCAAAAATTGTAACTTGGACAAAAATATGATTTTCTTCAGTTAATTATTTGTTTCAATATGCAGCAAAGTAGTATATCGACTGCCGCGACTGATAGTTCATAGCGGAGCATAGCGAGGCTAGGAATGGGCTTATATCACAAAAAATTTTTATTTCATAATTCGATAGAACAAACTAGCTCACGACCGCACACCGTTTCTTGCTATGAGCTCCCTACGTTTTATAAAAAATTATTGAAATCCCCGATTTTTCGTACCTCTGAAAACGAGGCGATGATGTGACGTCAAAACCCTAATACTGAAACAAGACTATTCCAGACAGAGATGAATGATACATGATTTCTGGCACAGTGAATTAGCGCGAGATCACAGTTGAAAGAATTAATATATCAGTTGCCTCAGTCTCCGTCGGGCGTTTGGTATTTTAACTTTGGCGAGATGAGGTTTCTACGTCATAAGAGGGTCCGTTTTCAGAAGGTAGTATTATTCATGTCCAAAAATAAAACATTCCAGTTAATTTTTCGATCGAATTATGTCGTCAATCATTATTTATGTATAAAAGGATCATTATAAACATGGTTTGAGTTAAAAGTCCTACTGAGGTGTACACGCCCATTCGGTCAAGGCAGTCAATCTACATTTGCTGCCCTGTGAAGCATATAATTTGTTCTTTTTAAAACCAACTTTGTGTAATTTTTTATTGAAAAGTTTATCATTTTGTGTTCATCCAATGTCAGTGTCAATTTTGATTATCAATTTCATACAAAGTACCTGCCGATGGCAGAGAAAATACACTTTCTATGCCACTTGGAGACAAATATTATTCCCTTCTCGAATGTTTATGGTTGATGCAAAGTGGACGACACAAGCATTTAGGAGCAAAATTCATTTAAATGGATTTTTTCAGTACTAAAAATATTAGGGAGTCATCAATCAGAATATCATTAAACTACTTCACGTATTTAACCAAAGTTTAGGACAGTTTTGACGAAGTCAATATTACAGAGATTTCGTAGGGATTAAAAAATATCAAAAACTACAATTTCCAATAGAACGTTTAAACAAAAATAGAGAAACTCAAAGTCATTACCACAATAGTTCATAAAATGAACGAAAATGGTAGATAACGAGAAAAACTACTTTCCTTGCTATATGCCATGTAGTACATCCTTCCGAAATCTAGAATGTGTTCTTCTGATGGTACTTGATAATGTGTTTATCTCACAATATTTTGTCGGGCAAGAACAAACCCCACAGGTACGATTTTTTTTTGAAAAAAAATCATGACTTTTTCAAAATACACGTGGATGGGAGTGTATTTTGTAAGAGTTACGATTTTTTTCCGAAATTTAAAAAAGGGGGCCTGTGGAGTTGATTTTTGCCCCACAAACTACTGTGAGATATACACATTATCAAGTACCATCAGAGGTACACATTCATAGGAAAAAACTCCCATCCACGGGTATTTTGAAACAGTTATGATTTATTTTTGAAATTCCAAAAAAGGGGACCTGTGGTGTTAATTTTTGCCCGACAAAATAATGAGAGATATACATATTATCAAGGACCCTTAGAGGAATACATTGATGGAAAATAGTTGAGGGTTGCTCGTAAGGCGGCAACCGTATGACGGATAGAACAATTTTAGAACAATTTTAGTTTCATCCACCGACATATTTTGGAGGTTTTGGTAATTTCATGGCCAGGCATGAGTATAAATTGTGGCTGGTTTCACACTGATAAGATATTATTGAAATTCGGAAATATCAAAATAACAGAATATGAAAGAATATGAGTTATTTCTTACGCGTTCAACGGCCTTTTTTACACATTCAGGATTGGTTGCAGTGATGTATGCATGCAGAGGTTCATCTTCGCCAGGCAAAGGTTGTCCATCTTTCCTGCCGACTTTGCCCTCCTTCACTGAGCCCTTACCACGAATGATGATCTTCGCACCTGTCTCTTTCTCCATTGCTACGATAAATTAACAAACATGTAGAAACAGTATATTGCTTAATGAGCATGGAATGATATTCATTTTCCACGAGAATGAAAAGTTTGGCAGCATGAACCGTACGCGAATTCTGCAAACCATGAGACTGATAAATTAGCGAGTTATACACTATACTTTTTCTACGGCTGTAACGAATAAACTTAGTGTTTCGTCTATTTCTTTTCTTTTGATAAAGAATCTGTATACTTTCACCTATCCATATTTCACATTTGATGAAGAGGATTTTTCAGAATCCATCCTTTCAAGGGATATTTTCAAATTTCGGACTGAAATCCATTGAAACATGCATCTGCCCATTAACCACCGAAAAACTTGCAATTTGAAGGCATTTGACCACATAGTTCAAAGCCTAATGGTTCGAAGGGACCTAGTTGAAGGACCACCATTGAATTCAAAGGGTTTCAATATTAATTTCGAAGGAACAAAGAATTTTTGATATGAAAAGAGTTACAGCGAGCATTTCCAAAGGAACAAAGAATTTCCGACAGGAACAGTTACAAAAACTTTTCGAAAACGCCATTTGCGAAAACCACCCTATACAGTGTGTCCCACTTACCATGCTCACCATGGGTATCTTTTTAACGGTGAGAGATACGAGGTCGGTTAAATGACACCAAATGTGGAGTTTGTCAAGGCCAACTATAATGTGAAAAAATATTTTGATAAAATCTATTCGTTTTTGTTTTATATAAGATTTTGATCATTTTCATGTCTCCTCCATAACTTCTTTATTTATGAAAATATTCAAATAGGAATTTCACATTCTCATGGCAGTTTTTCAAAGTGATTTTGAAAAAAATATGGAATTCATACCAACTCTTCTAGAATTTGAGATATCAGCACCAACTTTAGTTTTTCAAATGTAGGTCATAGCTCACTATGACTTAGTTACAAATAACTTTTTTCTCTCTTACAGATGATATGTCGCAGTAATAGTTTTCTGTTGATAACAACGGACTCAACGGAGTTATCGTCATTTATACAAAAACAAAAAATTATTTGGAAGCCGCCATCTTGAATTTATAAATTTCAACAAGAAAATCATGATCTCCGACCTCAAAAATCCCCACTCACCAATTTTGATGACAATACATTATGGAATTTTTGTTGAAATTAAAAAAATGGCTGCTCCAAGATGGCGGACAAGATTTGGCCCGATTCCATTCAAAATTGGTAAGTGGGGGTTTTTGAGGTCGGAGATCATGATTGTTTTGTTAAAATTTATAAATTCAAGATGGCGGCTTCCAAATAATTTTTTGTTTTTGTATAAATGACGATAACTCCGTTGTTATCAACACAAAACTATTACTGCGACATATCATCTGTAAGAGAAAGAAAAGTTATTTGTAACTAAGTCATAGTGAGCTATGACCTACATTTGAAAAACTAAAGTTGGTGCTGATATCTCAAATTCTAGAAGAGTTGGTATGAATTCCATATTTTTTTCGAAATCACTTTGAAAAACTGCCATGAGAATGTGAAATTCCTATTTGAATATTTTCATAAATAAAGAAGTTATGGAGGAGACATGAAAATGATCAAAATCTGTTTTTTGCGTATAAAACAAAAACGAATAGATTTTATCAAAATATTTTTTCACATTATAGTTGGCCTTGACAAACTCCACATTTGGTGTCATTTAACCGACCTCGTATCTCTCACCGTTAAAAAGATACCCATGGTGAGCATGGTAAGTGGGACACACTGTATAACTCTGAATTGATATATGTATAATAGATTTGAATATGAGTTTATCAACATTGAGCTCATCATAATTTGATCCCAGGCGCAAACAACAATTTTCGTCCATCTAGTTTTAAAAAAGGGTTGCCCTATAAATGTGTACAATTTGGATCATTCTGTTGATACATCTGCTAACATGGCGTGGATCAAGGTCTACTTACTCTTGAGCGTGTTTCCTCTTGGGCCAATCAACAGTCCAACAAAATTGATTTCCGGATGTTCTTCTTGTGGAATCATCACCTTGTCACTAACCCTAGTGACTGGAGGTCTGTAAAAAAGATAATTTATTATGACCAATTCAAACATTACAAACTGAAGATTCAGATGCTGTGGATGAACTGACATAATAAAGATAATGGACTGAGTTGAATAGTAATAAGTAGTAGTTGAAAGAACTAAAAAAACACGATTCTATAGATAGCCAAACTGAAAAGAAGTAGAAACTAAAATGTGTGTTGATAAATACACAACATAAAATATACTGATTACCGAGGTGCTATAATATTTTATATGTTGTGTATTTAACAACAAACTTTTATAATTTTATTTCCTCAAAGGAAGGAAAGAATGCTGGAAGTCATCTCCCCAAATGTTAATGGTGTTATTACACAATCATAAGGGACATGTTTCGGTCTAATAAAAAAACCATCTTCAGCCTAATTGAAAGTTCTACAATACAAAAAGGTTGAAGGGAAAGAATAACATGATTTGCGCTTGACTTACTTGGAGTTGAAAATCTTGATGCTACTAGTTGTGGAATTGTTGTCAATGCCCATAGTCGAAAAATCGAGCATATGAATGAAAAAACCGGTTCTCAATAAATGGAGGGCCCCGTGCCCTGAGAGCGCATACCATTCATCTCATTGAAATTTCATATACCAAAATGGTATATGAGGAGTAATTGCCATAAGGTTTTGTTTTGAGAACACCATAAATTAACGTCTTAAAAAAATGAGTTCCTTGTGCTCTTATGAAAGCGCTACTACGAAAATATCAATAAAATTGATGGGGCAAACAGCCAGCACGTATTTAAATCTAAACTAAAATAATGTCAAATAGTGACGTTGACAAGACGTGGACATAAGTCAAAATTAATGTCAAGGGATAAAACATGAAGTTCCGACAAACTTAAAGAATGTGGAGGTAGGAGGAGGGATGCATGTATGGGAGAGTTGAACGATCCTGAAAACCATTGACTATGAATATACCATGGAATAAGAGTTGAGACCAAGGTAGGTAAACCAACAGTGATTGAAATCCAAAGCATTGAAAAATTTAATACAGTCAAAATGTGTTTGTTCATTAAGAGACAAGACCGAATTATTATTTAATCTCTCTTGATTTGCTGTGAGGGTTGTTGACTTATTGGTGTAACTAATAATTTTGACATGTTTATTTTTACTGGCTTGTGTGCTTGTTTGATTGTTCTAGATTCTCTATTTTTTCATTCAGTAGTTTTTTAATGGTTTCCTATTTCTTTATATTTTTTTCTTTGTCGACTAGAAATTCAAGGTTTTTTCTGATGAACTTAGTTCACTACATTCAATACAAATAAAATTTCTACAAGAATCACATTGGAAACAAGGATTTTTTATATCTTTTTTTGGTTGCTTCATGATATTGCATATGGAGCAATTCATTTTGGCTGATTCTAATATTTTTTTATTTTGATATATAATAATTCCTGGTACGGCAATGGTTCCCAATTCAATTCATTACAATAACTGTTCAGAGATAAAGAAACAAAAAAGTGAAGAGTTTCTGAGTGTAAGCTCTGTTTGACACTGTAAAACTTGTTGTTCATATGAATGATTAATATTTAGGTGCACATTTTAGTTAAACTATTACACCTCGTATTGCAATAAATGTTGATGAAACTTGTTTTACAAACTGCAGACAAATGATATACGCCGGGCGGTATCGAGTTACACCAAGAGAATATTTCTGGTGTAAAATTGAATAATTTTCAATTTCACATAACATAATGGAGTTCAATATAAAACCTCAAAAACATAATGTTTAAATTACTCGGTAACTAGATTCCTCTATGAGAGTCAGATATGAAAAGAAATGCATGCCATGAGTCAGCTTCCAAAACAATTCACTTTTCTAACAGCTTTTATCTTGAATACGGATGCCGTTACAACAACTTTTCACAGAGCAAACCCAACTTATTTTCCCGTGATCTTTCTACCTATCCTAGCAACGGACCACCTTTTCCGAAACACCCTGAATATATTGAAAAGGAATATTCTCAGATTCAATTATGAACATAAGAAAATTGATATATATATATATATAAAAATACATTGAGAATTCGCATTCTCTATGTGATGACAATATCAATTCTTTCTCGGTTTATTCAACAGAAAACAACTACTTTCCTGGCTGTATGCAACGACAAACATTTAATCACATCTATTTAACATACATGATAAGAATTTCAAACCAAATCTTCTGAAGTAGAAAATTTGCATTCTCCTTCATATAAAGATGCACATAATATCATTCTGAATATTCAACAGAAAACAACTACTTTCCTGGCTATTTGCCATGTCGAATATTGAATTATATCTGTTGAACATCCAAAAAGAGAGAATGAATTGACACCATCTCTCAAATCGGATAAAATAATATGATGTATTATGATATAACTTACCAATATGTTCAGTATTGAAATGAAAATTGAAATGTATATGAGAAGTATACTTGTATAAACTCTGATCTTGATGAGCTTGGAACTTCAAAAAAAAAATCATTCCTATCAGTGATATGGGAATTATATCTCTCACAAACAGGTTATATGACTTCACTGGAATAAACTCATTTCGGATATCAAATCTTCATCAGTAACCTGAAGTCCAGTTATTATTTCAGTCATTCTTCATGATATACACAATTTTCATCTCCTTATAATTTAACTAAAACCGTTGATTGATATATTACGCTTACGCTGGGAAGATGCCCAACCTGTGTTATTTGCGAGTCGATGCCCCGCTCATCCCCTCGTCTATCGTTTAGCCACTGTGAGGTAGCGACTCCACTAGGCACACAGAACATGTCTGAACTAATTGTACAGATTACTACACTTTTGTACAGAATTACAGATCCCATCCCACCGCGTGCTATCGCTCCAGAAATTTTTGTTTATCCTTGTCTTCTAAGATGAGAACCGACCGGCCCGACCGGTTCCGATGAAAAAATGTGTGCTACGGTCGGTGAATCCCATGGACGTATATGGGGAATCCGCATTCCTCAACAATAACAACGGGTTGCGAGTATTGATTTTTCCCTCGGTTCCTTGCGGAAGAGAAAAGAACATATTATGATCTCTCACTCAGTTGGGTTCCTACTCCGTGGCGTTTTTTTAAATTCTCTTGTTAATAACTTGTCATACTTTGCCTAGACCAATATATATGTATATCTGGAAAAACATCTCACGCCTTTTTCGTTGATTATTTTTTTCACTCAATTCGTATCCATATTAAAAATTTGTATTGATAACACATTACAGAATATTGATAATATAAGCAATCTGAATGTGATAATTTCTTAGAGTCTCATCAGTAGATAGAAAATAAATAGTCAGATATCTTTGAATCTTTGATTGTTAATGGTTCACTATAAAAATGAAATAAAATACATCATCTATAATAGGCATAATATACAGAGTGAGTCATAACTATTGGAACATATATAGAATTCATTTATTTATTGGATTACAAGAGTTGAAGCTGCAAGCTTATGAACCATATTCAACAGTATCTAGTTGTTGAAAAATATGATTTTTTTTTTGGTATATTTGAAGAGATAAAAACAAAATCATCAGAAAACAGCTACATTTCCAGTCTATATGCAGCTACATTTCCAGTCTATATGCCACGATATAAAATCATGAAATCGGCAATGATATTTTGTGATTTGTGATACCAGTAACTTTTTCTGGAGTAGAATCGATTTTGCCGCTCCAGAACAACGGAGTACAGACTACGGAACGCTCAGAATCTCCGCCCTAACAACACAGGGATGTTCTAGGTACGTACCATAGATTAACGAATGTACGTGCCCTTTTTGTCACACGGTACAAGGACATAATTGGGGTATCCAGGGGATGTCCCGCAGTGGTTATCCTATTCGTGTCCCTGGAATATCTGATATCTATTCACATCAGAGTCATTGACTTTCATCAAAATATTCAGTTAAATTTTTATGAAAATGTTTGATTTTTTTCCGGTAAATAATTGTAATGAAAATAAAGAAAATTGTCTCAGAACTTCTCAAGAAATTACCATTTTTCGCAAACAGAAATCGTAAATGCATAATGCCCCTCATTTTTAAACATCCACGAATGATAATAATTATACCCAAATCCTAACAAAGTTGTATTTATTCAGGTTTCTGCAGTTTAGTCCTGTTTAAAAATCGATGTTTGGTACATAAATCTTCAGAAGGCATATCAGCCAATGGGGTAAGGTGCGTACCTGAAGCTAAAGGTCCCGGGTTCAAACCCTACTCGACCTACATTTTTTTATCCTTTCTTCGTACTTGGTACATCCCAGGGACGTACCAGACGGAAATCCCTTGGATGCTTTTTTTGTCAGCCAGCTGATTTCTCTGGGACGTCCCTAGTATGTACTCTGTCCCGACAAAGGATATCTCTGGGATGTCCTTGTATAAAATTAGGGACGTCCCTGGGAAGTCCTTAGGATGTACTTGTGTTGTTAGGGCGACAAACGACGGCTTGGCAGCCCTATCGCCGACAAACGCACCGAGTCGGCACCCCACAAAATTCAAAGGAAATTATTGGCACTCCAAGTTTCGGCAATACATAGGTCGGATCATATACCAGTATAAAATACTTTGGATTGATAGCGGTATAGAATTGTCACGCAATATGTTCCGCGTTTTTCATGTGATAAATATCAGTAATTTCAATAATAAAAATTTCAAAAATTGTACATAGCTCTGACAAGAAAATGATTTGCGACAGTGAATTATAGTTTGATTTAGTTATTCGACATAATGAAATATGAAATTCCACTCAAACAGACCCATTTAGATTCAGTTCTAGGGTAAAATAAACTAAGGTGACAACACTGGTCCGGATTCGTGAATTTCAATCAAATTTATGAGCAGCTTGGATATATTGGTATCCGCTGACCAGTTTATTCCACAATCGCCAAAAATGGAAGCATTGATTGTTCAGACATTAAATTTTGTGATTCACTCCAATTCGATTTCTACAAACTTTTTTCATGACCTCACGTCCGTGATGCGCTCGTTAAAAGCACATCCAGTACAACTATTACTATCAAATTCGAATTTGCCGCCATATTAGTTAGAATCGTACTGATTGATGGTGGATTCCATACAAGCGTTCTGGATTATGGATTGTTTAATTGTTCCAAGTCGCACGCCATCTGCATTTCAATAGATTCTCTTCGTAAGTGGCGCACCTGCCAGTCAAATTACGAAGTATTGCTCCGACATCGTTCGACACTATCGCCGCCACTATGTGAGATTTCGAACTATGGTACGCCATCTAGTTGTGAGATTTTTTTGGACCTCGTTTTGCCCCATAAGGTTGGGCATCTTCCCAGCGTAAGCGTAATATATCAATCAACGCTAAAACTATGTTCATTTCAATTTTCATTTCAATACTGAACATATTGGTAAGTTATATTTTTATATCATAATACATCATATTATTTTATCCGATTTGAGAGATGATGTCAATTCTCAATTTCAGAGGATTTTCATTTTTCATGCTCTCTTCTTGGATGTTCAACAGATATAATTCAATGTTCGACTTGGCAAATAGCCAGGAAAGTAGTTGTTTTCTGTTGAATATTCAGAATGATATTATGTGCATATCTTTATATGAAGGAGAATGCAAATTCTCTACTTCAGAAGATTTTGTTTTCAAATTCTTATTGTGTATGTTCAATAGATGTAATTCAATGTTCATCGTGGCATATAGCCAGGAAAGTAGTTGTTTTCTGTTGAATAAACCAAGAAAGGATTGATATTTTCATCACATAGAGAATGCTAATTCTCAGTGTTTTCTTTATATATATAACCATTTTTTTATTTTCATAATTATATCTGAGGATTCCTTTTCAATACTTTCACCCAATCAAGGGGTTCAAACTTGAACGATGGAAACTTTTTTTTATAGACCTCAATCGCAGATTCGTGATTAGGTTTTCTCAATTCAGAATTTCTTTCCACATCCTGTATGATGAATATCAATTTATCATATATATATATGAATATAATTTTTCAATCAAATGAATACTAACTTGTAGTCCATAGGCGGTTTAAACTCGGGGTTGATATCCTGCATGCTGAGAACAAGAGCATGTCTGTCCTCTTCCAATTTCTTTCTAGTGCGAAACTCCCTGGTGTTAAGCCTTTTACCGTCACTGCTATAAATCGGTTCTGGAGAGGGGGACCTGCCGAACAAAAATAACAGAAATGAATATACATCGATGAACCACCGTTGGAACTTCACAGGTGCATCTACTTTTGAGTTGGAACGATTTTTCAGATGATGAAAAGCGATATCAGAAGTCGCTGGTATGATCGGCACTATATTTATCAGAAATTCTTACATTACCGAATGAAAAACGTTGATTGTTCATTATGGAATCGATAAAGTTTGTTTATTATTACTCATCTCATTACACAACTTGAATATATTATTTATCTGTCTGTATCTTCGTTGCTTTTTTTGTATGGATGTTTCAAATTTGGTACATTGATTTGATATCATCAGTGTATAATTTATCAGATCCAGTATGACACTTCCGGTTTGACTGAAGTGCACCAATTTTTTTTATTCAATTAAAAAAGAATTTTTTCTCTGAAAAACCCTTCCCAAGATATATCACGATTATACTTCCAATTCACAATCTACTCATATACTTGAGAATTTATAAAAATATACTTTTTGTATTCCCCTCGTACCGTGTAGGAAAATTATCAGTAGTAATATCCCTAGGACATTGACAATAAACGAGATAATTTTATGACAATCGAAAGCCACCTAATGTTGAAAGGTACAATACAAAAATGCAAGTAGGTGTAGCATGACGATTATCTCCATTTAAAATAAATAGGAAACAGAGATTTGAAATTTTTTCTTGCTTTATATTTCAATATGTACGGGAATTTAAACCAATTTCAACAAAATTATTTGATGGCATTTGACAAATTTGAGTTTATTGATGTTAAAAAAGAGAAAGACTTCAATTGTGAAACTATCGAATGAGCACGATAATTATTGTGTAAAAACTTTGAAATCGAATTATTGTTTGTTACTCACACTTTCATGAAAATATTCCGTTACAAGGGAAATACACAAAGAATGTTTTTGTAAAATATATATTGGAAAGGTAATTTCTATAGCATATTATAATTTCCATAAAAAATTAAACTTTGTATTTGAAATAAAAAAATTGGATGTACTTCCGGTTCATATTTGATCTGATACAAGGGAAATTACCTAGACACTCATGAAATCAAATCGTTGTACCAAATTTGCAACACCCATTCAAAATAGCAAGATACAGGGGGGTAAATCGGTTCCGGGTCACCCTACATTTCTAAATTTCAAATGGGTAAATATCACCTGTGACGTGCAAACAGTTAATTTTCCTTAAAGTAAAGGGCCCGCTTAGATCAATGTTTTTGTCATCCAACTAATACCCAAAAGTATTCTATAAGTAGGGACATCAACCATTGACTGGAGTTTACAATATTTGTATCTTGATTTTACGGGGACAAGTTCTTGAAAAGTGGCAGGTTCATTGCTGGGAGATTTTGGTTTTATCGACACTAGCGATGAAGCATGGATGAAATGTTCGGTCAATTTGAATTGATCGGTAGTAGACTCGCAGGAAATCTCGCATTGTCTGGCATCGAGTTTATGGTATACAGGGTGTTTCTTAAGTACGTGTAGAAAATTCAGGAGCATGCTGCTGACATCAAAATAAGAAGAAAAGTTCGTATGAATATGTCCGAAAGTTATTCGTTTATGAGATACAGAGTGTCAAAGTTGAATTTTTATTTTGTTTCTTGTGTATAAATTTCAAAATAATTGTGACATTCAAATGAAGTTCGATATCTAGGGGTATTTTTCAATGACAATATCAAATTTCATGTAAGTTTATCACTTTCGTGGGGGTGGCGCCACCTAAATGTCTTTTGAAACGTCATAACATTTTTGTGCGTACCTGAATCCCGTTTTATAGTTGAAAAATAGATTTCTAGAATACTTTTCTGTGAGAAATATGACCCTGGTAGAGTTGGCTGCAAACAACTGTTTTCGAGTTATTGGGATTTGAAATAATCGATGCATTTGAATTATTTTCATGGGGCTCGTAAGATTTTGAGCAATGTTTCTCGTGCTTGTCTGTGGATCTTCTTCGATTGCCTGAAGAATAGCTTCTTCAATTTCTAGAGTCCTAGTAGTCAACGGTCTGCATATCACTGGAGCTTTTTCGAAGGATCCAGACTCCATAAGAGACTGAAAGGGGTTTCTGAATGTCTGGTGATTCGGCAGTAGATATTAGGGAATCTTTCATTTGACTGTTATTTCTTTTATTTCTGACAGTGACATTATACGCTTATATCGTCATAGTTACGATATCTATTATGAGGGTCATAACTCCCTTGGGATGTTATAGATGCTATAATTCCCTCTAAATAAAATCAAATAAGAAATGCATAGCAACAACCACGCAGTAACGTAGCAATAAGGAATCTCCTATTCGCGGTAGTCAAGATCATCATCTGACGTTCTGATGACATTGAAACTATACGGAAAAACATGTCTAACTTCCAATCGGGAAGGTATCTAATGAATGAAATCAGTCAGAAATAAAATTATCTATGTATCACGGGAATTACTGAGCCTCAATAACCTCAGGCAATTGCTGTCCCTCGGGCCAGAGGCCCTCGGGACGCAAACTTTGCCATCGGTAATTAAGGCCCTCATAATTCCCTTAATACATAAATAACTATAAATTGGAAGAGTCCAAAAAAGTAGGTACAAAGAAGTAAGAATCATCTTTTGCCGATATTCCAATGTTGAATGTAGGAGAATATTTAATGAAAGAAGAAAAATGCACTGGCGTATCTTTTCTGATATTTACTACTTAGAGGCGAGTCCCATGGAAATAATTCAAATGCATAGATTATTTCAAATCCCAATAACTCAAGAACAGTTGTTCGCAGCGACCTCTACCAAGATTATATTTTTCACACAAGTGTTCTAGAAATCTATTTTTCTACTATAAAACGTGATACAGGTACGCACAAAAAAGTTATGACTTTTCATAAGACTCAAAAGACATGTAGGTGGCGCCACCCCACGAAAGAGACAAACCAACATAAAATTTGAGAGTGTCATTGAAAAATACTCCTAGATACCAAACTTCATTCAAATATCACAATCATTTCGAAATTTATTGACAAAAATCAAAAATAAGAATTCAACTTTGACACTCTGTATCTCATAAACGAAGAACTTTCTGACATATATTTATACGAACTTTTCTTCTTATTTTGACGTCAGCAACATGCTCCTAAATTTTCTACACGTACTTAAGAAACACCCTGTACAATACGGATGAATTTCTCGCGATAACCTTTTATCATTGAAAAGGTATCGTAAATGCCAGACCGACTAGCAATAACCTAAGCTTGAGAGGAATGACTTGTAACTTTCTTCATTGCTAGATGGCATAATCGCTATCGTCAATGACAGAAGCTTCATCATTTTTAAAATGCCAAGTTGACCTAGATCAAAAATATTAATATCGGAATCTTAAGTCCAGTTTTTCATCCATTTTCTGAATGAGAATTTGTATTCAGAATTTACTGCACCGTGTATTACACAAACAGAGTCTGAATGCAAAATTGGATGAAAAATTGAACATGTCCTATTTTTCATTCATTTCATGTTGAAGCGCTTGCGCATAACGCCGTTATTTAACCTTCGAATTGTTTGTTTTATTTTGAAGTGAGAAACAATTTTATGGGTTTATGGTAATGTCACTTGTATTTTGTATTTTGAAAAGGTAATTGATGTAATATAAATTACAAATAATATATGTCCACTGATTAGTTTTACTGTTATCTCAAATTTAGATAACATCAGTTCTATAATAGTTTGGTCTTCAAAGCATATGTATTGGTGCTTCAATTGAAGAATAACAAAAATATGTTTGTTTGCAATCTCTTTTGCAATCAAACATCCAGAAATACTCGAGTAGACGCTTTGACATGTTTTGAGTACCTACCTCATTTCTGGTGAAATACATTCAGGCATATTTGAATCTTTTTTAGTTTGTTTTGACCAGAAAAAAGTGAACCGAACTTCATTCATTCTTATGAAATTTGTAGATACATACATTGATTGACAGGGTTTCCAAACAGGTGTTCATTTTGCACCATATTCAGAACTCCTAGCCCACAAGTGAGCGATTCACGAGACTTTTTTTTAATATTTTTCCATTCCGAGTTTTTTAAACAAATACGCTGAGCATAGCACCCACTATTGCAGAACTGCAGACAGATATTTTTTGGGAGAAACTTTTACTTTATACCATTCTTCAATTTTGAATATCTTCTTCCAAAAATATATTTTGAGGTTACTATTCGCGGGAATCAATGTTACCAGGTGGCGCTCGGTTTTCATCGTTCCATGTCAAAGCCACGTCAAAACTGAGGGAAAACAAACTCTCATGTGATTTTGTGGGAGGCAGAAAACTTCAACAAAAGGCACATTTTTGCACTTTGTCTACAAATTTCGGCGATGAAATCTTCCCCACATGAAGTAAAATTGAAGTTCGTTTCCAGAGGAACTCCTGTAGAACAATGGATTTGTATTTGTTTATGCAAAGCAGGACAATCTGGGTATTGTAAACATGTTGTAGCTGTTCTTTTATATGTTATTTGATTTGCTCCTCATAATTAGTTTGAATTGTTTGAACTATCTCCAATTCTTCACCCGTTCACTGTTCAAACTAATAAAAATGTAATGATGAGTAAAAATTAACCAACTCAACCATCATCACTACCAACAGTGCCAACACTTTATGTCATTGACAAGTTTGACTACAGCTACAGCAATCTGAATGCAATGTAGTCTATGCACTTTATCCATAGACAACAGTTTGTTTTCCCCCAATTTGAAGTTCGTATTATGTAACCTAGATGTCGCCCACTTCATGAATCTCGCGAATACACGCACAACCAGCATGTGCATATGCATATTATATTATTTCATAACATGCGGATGCCCCTTGTCACAATATCTTATCTGTGATCTTATGTCGTGTCACACAACACAGAATTTTCCCACAGAAAATGATTCAGATTATTCTGAATGTTTTATTGTGCTCAATAATGATCAATTTTATGAGCGAAAAACTGGCCCGTTTAATAAGGACTTTACGCAATATTTTAGTCCATTTTAGGGTAGGCACTAAAATGCAGTAGATGAAATTTACTAATTGGCATAAGGCAGACAATTTAAGCTGGATGAACTAATCTGAGCTAGGCAACAATAGGTATAGATACAGTCAGAAAGTGTTTTAGTTTATCACAAACTCATCTCCACAAGGAATGCTCGATATATTTTTCAGTTTTTAACAATGGTTCATGTTCCTACTAAAGAACTGGTGAAATTCTATGGAACGAAGTATTTTCTATGAAGAATTCCTAAAGAAAATAATCATTAAGTGCTGTAATGAAAAATAAATTATTTAGGAGAAACTGGAGATTAGCTCAGGCTGAAACGAAATATTCTAGAAATTATTATGTTGGGCATTCTTCTATCATGTTCAGCTGAAATTGAATATTTACTATTAGTTTTTATTCTTCATTGTTCATTTTATTAGATGACTATCTAGAACAGAATTATTAAGAGATGTATACCTAAACATTGGAACAATATTCGAGTATTAGTTGATTGTAGTAACTAAGCAAATATAAAATTTTACTAGGTATTAAAATACTCTCGAAAATTATTCAAATTCACTTATGCCTGAAGAGGATGGTCGTGTTTCTGGATAAATTGGAGTTTATTGTCACCAACTGTGAAAAACACACCAAAATCAAACAAACGATTTCAAGGAAAAGGATGTCATGAACAGCGAAAAACATTTGACTAGGCTTGAATAATACTCGAATATTGTGAAATATGGAAGGATTTTCGGTAATACGCAAAAACTCAACGTCAATGATAAAATTAACAAAAATATTGTATTAATTGTTTCCAAAAGTTCAACTTCACAATATAAAGAAAAAATCTGGATGTGACCTGGGAGTTTTTGGGTGTCCTCTGATCACCAGAGTGACATAAATCGGACCAGCACCACCACCGTCGATCTGAATAGATCAGATTCTTTGAGTCCCAATGACCAATGGATAATCATCATTCATTATTCAATAGCTTAAATGGGTAGTGAAAAATGGGAAAGTTTCCAATATCGAGGTTTTCATCTCACTGTGAAGTTTGTAAAAATTTAATATACAGTGTGCGCGATTTCAACCCGCAACACTCTCCTAATTTGGAACCCGTCGACCGATTTTCAAAAACAAGAATTCCATAATATAGTAGTCTAAGGAGCTCACTTCGAAAATGTGGATAAATCTGATATATTCAGATTTTCAAGGCCTACTTTTGTTTGTTGATGGGGTCAAGATTTCAAAAACGACTACTAGGCATTGTTTTTCGAAACAGTATCTCAGGGTGTTAGTTATTCAATGGCAAACTTTGAAATTTTCTATTTTTCGATTAACCCTATATCAAAATCTAAGAAGTTGATATAACTAGTGAAGTAGTCATTCAATGGAGTAATACATCGTATACTTGGATACGAAGTTCCATCGTTGTAAATTCTACAGGAAGATCTCTCTAGGTCTAGGTCAACCAAAAATTTATGAAATTGAAGTAATTTTTTTTTATTATGATCCATATATTTTTTCCTGGAACTATAAATAATAGTAACTAGTTCCAGGAAATATCCTCCATACATGAAAATATTCATTGTCATCTCAAATTCCCCTTCCATTCCGCCAAAATCAGTAAATGATCACAATAAGTAGGTATCAGTATATCTCCTTGCAGTCTTTGGAGAGTGTTTGTCATTCTATTTGTGTCATATTCAACACCTCTTTATCAATCGAGACGATTTTTGAAGTTACTGTGTGGTGGGGTGTGTGAAAAACGTTTTACTTGAGTTTTCAAAATGGTGAACCTCAACTTCTAGTTTTATTGATTTTTGGTTGACCAAGAAACATCTGCCTGTAGAACTTTTACAATGATGAAACATCATATCTAAGTTTTCCATGTGTTTCTTCATTGAATGACTACCTCACCGGTTATAGAATAGAATAGCATTTATTTACTCATTAAAATACACTGTACCGGGTGTTGAGCTCGTAAAAAATATAGAATAAGAAAATAATAAAAAATAGTCTATGAAACAATCCACAAACCTACAATATAACATGCTAAAATAAAAAAGAAATTAAAATAGTATACAATACGAATACACGGTTAATTCATGTACAGGAAATATGATATTGATCCAGGAGGAAGTCCTTTATAAAACAGATCTATTTTCTAGGATAGTTGCAGAATATATCTTGTCCACACCACACAAAATACTAACAGGCACACCAAGAGCTGATCTGTATACCATTTTTACTTGTGTCGATTTTTGATTGAGTTATCCGTTAGCCTATGTGTGCTGTGTGTTGTGTGTGTGTTGTCTGGTTGTGTGTGTGTTGTCTGGGTACCCGGCCACAGGGACATAGCAGGCAATTGTATAGCGGACGAGTTAGCAAGAGCAAGGAGCAGGAGCAAACAAAGCTCTTAATGGTCCAGAACCCTTCTGTGGTATTGCGAAAGCTATACAAAAGACTAGTATCAAATCATGGATGCAAACTAAATCTCAAGAATGGTGGAACAACTCGCCAGGAATGAGACAGGCAAAAGAGTTTATTAAAAAACCATCGCCAACATTCACAGAATATCTACTAAGCCAGAAACGAAGTTCAACTAGAATACTAGTGGGACTTCTCACAGGGCATTGTAGGCTCAACAAACACATGAGTACGATAGGTATTACTGAAGAACTGCTGTGCAGGTTCTGTCAAGAAGAGGAAGAAACAGCAGTACACATACTTTGCCACTGTGAGGGCTTGTCAAGACTAAGGTTCCTTACGCTGGGTGAGGAAAAACCAGGAGCCCAGAGATACACAGGAGATCTGAAAGCTAGCCTATGGAGTCTCATACAGAAGGCGGGGCTAGCCGAAGAACTCTAATCCATTTTGAGGGCAGACACAATAGATCTGAAAAGGTAGCAGTGTGGAGGCAGATAGCCCGAAGACCCCATTCCAAATCTAATCTAATCTAGCAAGAGCTGGTACGACGCTCGCAGCTATATCCGCTAATACTAGACCAGGGGCACCTATCGCTGAACGGAGGTTGCTCCTCCGGAAGGAAGTACTCCGCCTAACCAATCTCAGGTGGCGGGAGGAGCCTTCTTGCACCTCGTCTAGACAGGTATGGCCGCAGCTTAACCTGAGACGCACTAGATATATTTTGTCTCTTTCCAGAAGCTCCATTGGAAACGCGATTGCGGCCATCACTGGACACTGGCTTGGAGGATGTCATGCTGCACGTATGGGAATCCTACAACGTAATGACTTCTGTAGAAGCTGTCAAGACGAGGAGTAGGAAGAGACGATGGTCCACTTACTCTGTCATTGCCCTGCCCTATCCAGGAAAAGATCTTCTGCTCTCGGGCAGCCCTATTTTGACAACCTATCCGAGCTTCAGTCGGTTGGAATCGAAAAGCCTGATGCTGTTCATTAAAAGCAGCTACTGGTTCTCACGATAGTGGTGGGGGTGGTAACCACCCCATACAACATCACAACGGGCCCCTGGCCTACGTGGGTTCTACCCCGGACCACCGTGTTAACCTAACCTAACCTAACCTAACAGTTAATAGGTCGCTGTTTTGTTAGTTAGGCGATCATCGCTATTTTTCATGATATAAACATCAACAACGACGCCAAGTTGTAGATTCAAAATGTACGTCACAGTTTACCGCCCCGAAAATTGGAAATTGCTTTATCTTGGATACAAAAAAGACTTGGACTTTATCGCCATGATGTATTTTATGAAAATTCATCTGAAGGAAACTTCCCCATTATACAGAATAAGTTCCTAGTAAGTTGCTTTCAATTTAGACATTTACACTTGGGAAGTTGAACCTGTCAAATAAAACCATTAGACAAAATAGAAATATAAGTTCGGCATGATAGTATAGTACATGTACTGGTAATGAAAATCCTTTCATATTTTAAATAGGGAAAAATATTGAAAATTAATAAGTATTGACTGTTTTTAATGTTTGGCAAACCACATATGATGCATGTTTTGACCATCACACAGTTGGCTACACCCCACCTTTCTTCTGGATTGGCTGGAATCCCGAGATCGCCTGAACGCAGCTTCCGACTCACTTCTTCGATCTGTAGCTGAACTGTAATAAAACGGGTTAGAAGAGGGCAAAAGCCCAAGAGTTAGAAAATAATTTCGAAATAGCTAGAATAAAATAGATCATCGAATAGAAAATTTCTCCTTATGTATGACCAACAACATTCCCCTGTTGAAATCCCAAATACCTAAAAAACCTATGAAGAATTAATTAAATAAATGATTATTACTAATGTACCCACTGTATCAATATGCTATTCGGTTTATCCCTACCTGCTAATACTGAAAAAAAGCTGTAAATCCAAAAAAGTTATGATTTGTTTTTAGTTGATCATTCATTGAAAATTCTAAGCACTGCAGGTTTGTTCTAAAATTGAAGGTAAGCTGAATACATGTTCAATATACCCACTGTATCAATATGCTATTCAGTTTATCCATCCCTGCTAATACTGAAAAAAAGCTGTAAATCAAAAAAGTTATGATTTGTTTTACGTTGATCATTTATTAAAAATTCTAAGCACTGCAGGTTTGTTCTAAAATTGAAGGTGAGCTAAATTCATGTTTAATATAAAAAAATTAGCTGAGCTGTAATTGTAATAAAACATAATATTTTTAAAATAGCTGTAATAAAAGAATATTAACAGATGGATATTCCCTGATGTGTAATTATTCTGTTGAAAAGTAAAATCTTAGTTCTATTTCAATCAGGTCTTAGGATTCATTTCAACTTCAACCTTTTAATTTTATAAGTTGATCCATCAATGCATAACATATAAACCTGAAAAAAAATTCTATATACTGTGACCAAGATAAGGATGTCTATCATGGCGATCGAAATCACAAGAGACACAAAGATAGTTAAACTAGTTCTTCGACATAGAGGTAGTCTTCGACAAGGCAAGGACAGACACTATACAAGCAGCACTACAGGCCAGAGGAACTCCTCTGGCAATGGTCAGCTGGGTAGTGTCGTCACTGACTAGTAGAAAGGTAGAAGTAGTTCAGGGAGACCATAGACTGAGTACGGTGGTTGATGGAGGCTGTCCCCAGGGAAGCTGCCTTTCTCCCCACCTATGGTGCTTGGTCATGGATGAACTCTTGTGCAGGCTTACCCAAGGAGGCTTCGAGGCGCAGGCATACGCAGACGACGGATTGGTTCTGGTGAGCGGCCGGTTCCTAGGGGTTGTCTGTGAGCGTATGCAGGTAGCCTGCAGGATAATCGAAAGATGGTGTGATGAAGCGGGGCTCTCTGTCAATCCGACAAAAACAGAGATGATCCTATTCACCAACCGAAGGAAAAAGGACGGGTTTAAACCACCTATTATGTTTGGCCAAGAGTTGGAGTTAGTCCAACAGGTCAAATACCTAGGGGTCGTCTTGGACCCAAGACTCTCATGGAGGCTACACGTAGATAGGATAGTGCAAAAGTCGGTGGCAATTCTTTGGCAACTGACGAGGGTGGTTGGGAGAACTTGGGGTATGAACCTCGAGATTATGCGCTGGCTATACACAGTGGTCGTAAGACCAAAGATTCAGTATGGATCAGCTGTGTGGTGGCCAGGTGCAGAAACCAGCACAATTAGTCGAAAGCTTAGTAAAGTTCAGAGGATGGCTTGCCTGGCGATCACAGGAGCAATGAGGACGACGCCAACTGCAACGCTGGAGGTATTGCTGGGGCTGCCGCCGCTTCCAATCTGGATTAAGAGGGAAGCAATGGCGGCCTATCTGAGGATGCGGGACTCTGGGAGTTGGGCTAACGGAGGAGCAGTGACAGGTCACGCGGAAATTGCGACATGGGTGGAGCAGGAGATCCCTATCTCCACCCTAAGATTAAAGAACTCCCAAAATAAGCTGAGATGGAATAGAAGGTTCACCCTCACTATTCCAAGCAGGGAACAATGGGAAGAGAACAGAGTGGAATTCCGCCCGGGGAGTCTAGTATGTTATACGGACGGATGCCTAAATGACAAACAGGACTCAGGTGCAGGAATTTACCTAGAAGGAATAGGCATAAGGGAGAGCTACGCTCTTGGAAAGTATACCACAGTTTTCCAGGCTGAGGTCTTTGCCATTCTGGCAGTAGCGGAGAGGCAAGAGGTGAAAGAGGGACCAGAGCAGAAGATTTACATCTGCTCGGATAGTCAGGCGGCTCTCAGGGCTGTCTGCCATCCTAAACCAAGCTCAGCTTTTGTGCAGGAATGTGGCGATGCAGGCAATCGAGAGACCTGGTGGCCGGTCCAAGCAAGCCAAAGACGGCTTGGTTACTGGGCAGGGATCGCCAAGTCCTGCGCCTTCTTATAGGGATACTGACAGACACATATCACTCATAGGTGTGGAAGATAGTCCCACTTGCCGCGAATGCGGAGAAGATGAGGAGACATCACTTCACTTCCTCGGAGAGTGTGAGGCGTATGGAAGGATGAGATTCGAAATCTTTGGAGTAGATAAACTACAACAAGAAGATTTGGTCGAATTAGAGTGGACGGACATCCTGGCCTTCATCAGAAGGACGGGACGGTTCGAAAAGGACAACTAAAAGAGGGATGTGTAGATATGTGGAGAGCAGGGGTTGGCAAAAAGGGCCCACGGGGGCCTACTTGCCTGGCTACAGCCTCCCCACAGTACTACTACTACTACTACTAGTTAAACTAGAGAAAAGTTTCGCATTTTCAAGCCTAACAATATGCCAATTGAAACATTTTAAAATTCCCAGTAGTTCTGGAGACATGTTTGAGAATCTGAAACTTGCCGATTTCGTTTTTTATTTTTTTCTGACGTTATTTAAATGAATAGATATAGGAAAACAAAACACAATTCTTCATTACCACTTTATAAGCTCCACAAAGCAGCGTTGAGAGATTTTCCTTACGACCTTTCATTTCAGAGAAACCATTTTCGAGATCCCCATGATAGACACTGTATATGGAAAGTTATTGGTCTATCTAAAATTGATCAAGATTGCAGGCAATGTGCCTGAAGCACAAATCATTTCAGAGAGATCGGTGATTCATCAGGTAATAGGAGTATAATAAAGAAGGAGTAGAAACATGGAAGGAGGGTAAGTATATCACAGAGACTGGCGTTGTGGACAAGGCACTCAACTAGTAATCAAAAGGTTGCTGGTTAAACCTTCAGGAGAGCCTAGGCCATAGATATTTGCGTTAAGTTCACTGTAGGTCAAATCAACATCAGTACTGCTCCTAAGGTGGCGTTTGAAGTCAGTATAGAAGCCTACACAGAACGCTCAAGGTTGATGGATACCTCAACACTAACATAACCTACTACCTAAACCCCTATAAGTCATTCATTCAAGACATTGACTTGTCATTTGGTGTTCAGAAACATATGTGGGTAAATACGCATGCTCCATGGCATCCAGTCTGCATACCTAGTTATGTGGGTTATAGACACACATCAACAAAGCGCATTTTACTCAACATTTCACTGAAATAATGAGATTTAGCCCAACATGCCTGATGAGAATGTTGTTGGTTCAGGAAATACAGGTGTTCTTGGGGAAGGTTTTATTTTAAATGTTCCCAATAACTTCCTGAGTTTCAACAGCATTAACAGGTATTGAAAATGAAATTTGGCATTAAAATGAAATTTCATCGTTTCAGGTTTTCTGACATGAGAAATACGAATTAGCAATTTATTTTGTGATCATAGAGAGCGCTATTGGCACATTCTTATGTTGGTAAATTACATCATATCTTCTTTGTCCATCAAATGATGATCAAAGTAAGTGCAAAATCTGAAAGCCTGTTCAATTTTACAAAAAAATGTACTCTTTTTCAAATTGTCTAGCTCTAACAGTTTTTTCGTTTATGATCTGCTAAATTGGAATTTTGAAGAGAAAAGCATTCTAGTGGAATTTTAAAAAACATGCCTATATTTATTTGCACTTAAATTATTTTATGCAGTCAGCCTCCAAATGGATTAAAAAATAAGTTTTAATAATATTCAGAGGAAAAAGTATTCAGGTGGTGATTACTTGTCATATTTATATTTTAGGAAAAAAAAAGTCAATAAACATATTTCTTAAATTGGCTTAATTTTGGGATACAAAATGTTAACCTCTTAACCGGTGAAGGTGATGTATGACAGATGCACCCACTCTGGGCGGCAAAATCATCACATGCCTTGTATATGTTCATCTTGATCAGTATAAGAAAAGGTTATAGCAGAATTACATGAGATATTTCAAACATTTTTATTGACATAAACTAATTGTTGGCATATTCTCAATGACTTTGATGACGATCACCAATTACTTGGTATGATAATCTCTGAAACAAGGAGCTGGACAAAGTCCAGTTCTGCAATCCAAGCACCAGTATCTGGATTCTTCCCTTACTCCCCTCTGTGAACATAGAACATACTGTTTTGTTGTTTTTTTTTTATTTGCTGTTTGAGGAATGATGGCTGGAAAGTGCCATTCTGTAAGCTGACTAGGATTATCTGTTTTTGAATGCCTTATTGGATTACTCAATATGGGCTCCATTCTACCACTTTTTTGGTAGAGTATGTAGGAATTGAACATGTCAAAATTCATCTTTTGCAAGAGCAACTTGTTATAATATTTCTTGAGATGAGTTGGAACCAACTCTCTATATCTATTATCTTTCTCTTAGACATTATAATGCACATACAGAACGTTCACTGCTGACTGTACAAACGAAAATGAATGGGAAAAATAAGTTGATTACACCAAATTCTTCAGTGAGGAGTGGAAATTCCCGTGATCTATCACAAGCAAACTTATATGTGTTATCCATGGAGAGGACCAGTCAAAACCCGTCGGCGACTATATTCCTCATACTTCTAGTGCAACAATTACTAGTTTGTGGATATAATCCTCTTATTCCCATAAGAGGTTAAGGTTGGAAGTATTGATTATTTTTCTTATGATCCCACCCAGTGAGAGCTATTGTTTTGCCAAAATTCAATCTGTTTGGTGACTGACAAAATCTCAAATTTCAGAATGAATTATTGAGGTTAGGTTACTGAGTTCTCATGAGTGCACCTATATTGAAATTTGGAGTCAAATCAAATTTTTAATGTTTCCTCAAAACCATGAAAAACTGGATAATGTTACCAGGAGTTAAAAATGGACTTCATCCTTCATCATACCATGTGGAATAATGAATAATGTTTCAAATTCAGTACTAAAATTTAGGTTCTGAAGCCATTCGAAACACAGCACTAACTTACTCATTCAATTACTTCCCAATATTGAATAATCAGCAGTTCATTGTGGAAAAAGAAGATTAAATTCTGCTTTTGTCTGCAACATTCTGCAAAACATTACTAAGTAATTCATTAATTCAAACATTTTCATCTTTCCTAGGTACTTACAGACAAAAATACTTTTCTGGATGATGTAATTATAGAATATTTGTCCTGATAACTCCAATCCCATTGACATCTATTTGAAGATATTATACAAATGGGTCATAATGTTCACTTACCAACAAGGAACTACATTCTGGACAATAAGCAATAATTAGGTAGGCACATTACAATATTACTAAACAAGTGATCATCAAAACTGTTTACAACAGGAAATACTGTTCAATTGATTCAATTCAACTCACGTAGATATGCTTTCTCCTGATCCTTATTCAGATTTTGTGGCAAAATTGTTGGCATTCCTGGAATGAAAATCTTCTCATGTTCACTGCCTCCCCATCTAGATCTCTTTTTTCGCTTCTTATCATCATCACTTCCTGCAATAGTCTCAATGATTGAAAAACTCTTTAGAACTTAGTTTTCAAAAATTATACCTGTAGAGTGGTTTGAACTACCATCACCTTCTTTGAGCAAGCTAGCAAAATTCCTAGTTGCCGCTAAAGTAGCTAGAGTGTCAGCAATCATCTTATCACCATCAGGTTCTGGCGTAGGGGACTTATGTCTCTCATGCCTTCTATCAGTTCTATCCCTATCACGATCACGATCGCGACTTCTACTTCGGCTTCCTCTATCCCTACGACGATCCCTATCACGATCTCGATGTTTGTCTCGCGATCTACTACGTCTTCTATCCCTTCTGTCTCGGTCTCGGTCCCGATCCCTCTCTCGTGACCGGGACCTATCTCTATCCCGACGCCTCGATGAGCCCATTTTCAATGTAACTTGTGGGGCTCAACTTTTTCGATTCCTTCAGGAAATGTATAAACAATCCCCACAGGCACAATCCACTATCCTGATCCGGCTAAACACCTCTATAGCTACACAGAATACTTTTTTTTGTATCAGCTAATGAGCTATGAGCTTGATAACATGTTGGTATCAGAAAAATATATTTGTCCACTGACGCACTGACGTTCACTAAACGAAAATGACGATTGACGATTGACATTGACGAACAAATAACCAAAACCAATAGTACCAACCAGTCTCAACTCAACTCAACAAACTGAAATTAAACTACAAAGTAAAGATTACGAACAAGGCCGAAGACCCGAATACGAAAGCACGCACACTTTTCTTTTTTTGAAAACTCATTATAATGACTTTTTTTTCATTATAATGAGTTTTTTCTCATTATATTAACTTTTTTCTCATTATATTGACTTTTTTTTCATTATAATGAGTTTTTTCTCATGAAAATGAGTTTTTTCTCATTATAATGAATTTACTTTCTTTCTTCGGAGTCTTCTCCTGCTTCTAAGACTAACACCAATAGGGTCCAATTCTTTCAATATAATTCTCACACTTCTATTCGTAATTACAAATCCTTGCTGGATGCATTTCAAATGCATCCATCGATAGCCGTGTAACTGTCCGTACTTCTCAACTTGTTCGGCTATAAAATTCAAAACTTATTCTGGTAAGGGAGTAAAATATTTCATTCTGTAGAGGCCCATTATCTCCAATATTCGTTTAACTGTTGATAAACTTATACACTGTTTATGATATACCGTCAGGAAAGCCATAATTTCTTCCCAATAAAAAGTAGTATGCAATATAATTGGCCACCACATCCATTTTGATATAAATCATAAGAAATCTAATTAATAATGATAATCTAAACCAAAGAAATCATGTTTACACAGAAAATATAAAGGCGAATAATAATAAAGTCATTATACCTATACAGGGTGTTTCATGAGCAGACTCACATAGCCGAATGGTTGATAGGGGAAATCAATACGAGTTGATGTATATATATGAAACTATTTTTTGACCCTCCATAACGAAGATACAGGGTATTATGTGAAATTGCTATATAACTTTAATCGTCGATAGTACAGAAATGATTTGTCGTAATCTACTGAAATTTTGCAGCGACGTATCATTATTGAAACTATTCAAGATGACATATTATGAAAAAAAATATCCAGGTCCGGACTTGGTAAAATTTTATGTTTTATTGTTATGTCAAAAAAGTTCACTTTGTGACCACTTTTCTCGAAAAATTCCATCAGATTCAGAAAGATCAGACAAAATTCTATGTGAACTGTTCTTCAATTTACACGGCACACTTTGTCCGGTTCAATAAAATAATATGGAACAAAATCGTTCGAATGAATTTTAAATTTCGACCTGGCTGATAACTGTCAACTTTCAACTGGTATCATGTAAATTGATTTTTCCTACATTCTTGTTGAATAGTAATTGACAGAAGAATAGACGAGAAGAAAAACACGATATTTTTTTATCGGAATTCCAGATAGATATTATTATTCCTGACTTTGTTTTATGGGTGTCGCTTGAAGTGATATATCGAGTAGGTCCTCCGGTTTTTCATTTGTGTGACGAGACGTGACGTTTGTTGATAATCCGAACTGATAGGTAGGTACTAGGCTAGTACTAGGTAGGTACCATCTGATGAAATTACGACATGAGGATTCATGTGCTCATATTATGGTGATTTATCAAATTAGTTATGCCATCACGCATAAACTTAGCTCCATTTTTTGTTATTGATACACTTCTGCAAGTGACATAAGGATATGCATTTGCTATTTATTCAAAATTCCTAATGTTCATCATCGTGAAGGTTTTACTGCAACGTATTCTTGGGTCTGGGAACATTCTATGGTATTAAACATTTTCGTCTTGTTCAGCATTTGGAATATGAAGTGGCACCTAGAGTGTGAGAATATTTCGATTACCAGTGTTTACCTATCAACAAACGTCATGTTACATAAAATAAAAACAGGGCCCACTTTATGATAAATTTATAAAATAGAGTCACGAGTAATCATATCTATCTAGAAGTTCGATCAAAAACTAACATGTCAAATCATTAAAGAATCAGTACTAATCTCTTCTGTCAATTTCTATACAATAAAAATGTACAAAAAAATCAATTTACACGAATCCATTTGAAAGTTGAGAGTTATCAGCCAGGTCGAAATTGAAAATTCATTCGAACGTTTTTGTTCCATATTTCTTTGTTGAACCGGTCAAAGTGTGCCGTGTAAATTGGAGAGCAGTTCTTATAGCATTTTGTCTGATATTTCTGAATCTGATGGAATTTTTTGAGAAAAATGGTCACAAAGTGAACTTTTTTGACATAACAATGAAATATAAAATTTTACCAAGTCCGGACCTGGATATTTTTTTAATAATATGTTATCTTGAATAGTTTCAGTAGAGGTACGTTGCTGCCAAATTTCAGCAGATAACGACGAATCATTTCTGTAATATCGACCATCAAAGTTATATAGCAATTTCACATAATACCCTGTATCTATCGTTATGGAGGGTCAAAAAATGTTTTCATATATATACATCAACTCGTCTTGATTTTCCCTATTAACCATTTGGCTGTGTGAGTCTCCTCATGAAACACCCTGTATAATGAGAAAAAAGTCATTATAATGAGAAAAAAGTTATTATAATGAGAAAAAACTCATTATAATGAAAAAAAGTCATTATAATGAGAAAAAATTCATTATAATGAGAAAAAAGTCATTATAATGAAAAAAAAAAGTAAATTTAATGAGAAAAAAGTCATTATAATGAGAAAAAACTCATTATAATGAGAAAAAAGTCATTATAATGAGTTTCCAAAAAAAGAAAAGTGTGCGTGACACCAGGGTGCTTTCGTACCCGAAGACCAAAGACAAGTCATGCAAATTTGCCGAAAACAAGTGAGCTGCCATCTGCCAAGTGTCAACTGCCAAAGTAGACTGTTAACTGTTAAAATTTTCGAACTTTCTCGATTGGCCCAGTAGCGTTTCCTCCTTTGTTCTATCAAAATTCATTGTTTATTTATTAGGCAAATTGTTCTTGAGGCAATCCAACTGGCGTCTGGTCAATGACGGCTAAATATCTGGACTGTCTGACGCTGACGAGTTATGACTGGGGTTGCCATCTTAGCGGTTTTGTCGCTAAATCTAGTTTTTAGGGTAGAATGCGACATTTCAAAATGATTTGCGACGTGTCGGAATTCTAGCGTTCTCAACATAGTCATAGCAGTCAGCGTTTTATATGGAAATATTTTGAACATATGAATTGGTGACGACGGATATGAATAATTCACATTGAAACATTCGAGACAAAAATTGCGTTTTATTTATCCGATTCCGCCACCAGAATCACTTTAATGTGTCGTTTTTTTTCCAACTTTTCCGATTCGGGTTGCTACTTGAATGACTGTTGACAGCTGTCAAAAAATTGAATTAGATTGGCGAAAAACGAATCTTATTGAAAGTAAAAGACATTCATAAGAAATTTTTATCGTGAGTTTCACAAGTTTATGATTCTAACAAGTAAGACAGGTTTCATATGTTCATTCCCAGATAATAATAATTCTCTCGATTACTCGATCTCAGAGAAGTTTTTCAAATCACCACAATCACTGCTCCAAATATTCTTCGTTAAATCATTTTCTAGATTCTCAACTGTAGTATCATGATTTTGAAATCATTTGGAGCCCCAATATACAGGGTGTTACAGAACTATGGGATCAAACTTCTGGGGGTTATTCAGTGCAACAGTAGAAAACATTTGAGTGGTGAAACACATGTTCGGAAAAGTATCACTACGGCACTACGGCCCTAAGACGCGTGAAAATTCAGAAATACGATGAACTGAAAAAATAGAATTTGATGCATTTAATTTCTGACTTCTGTACATGATATTATCACAACAATTGTTCAAAATGTCAATGTCAATGTTTGAAAATTTTATACAATTTACCGGCGCTTGTGAGTTGTTGAGTTTGAAAACGATAACAGAGATTTTATTTTGTAGGTGCATTCCATATCGCCTTAATCGTGCTATCGTATTTGTGAAGTTTGCAAGAATTTAACGAAAAAAAAAAATCAATTGTTGCTAATGGAAAACTTTACCAATCAAGAATTGGCGGATATGCATGAAAAAACCTTGAAAATTAATCAAGAAAGAGACTCTTTGTCTAAGTGATGTTTATTATACCTGATTCTACCTCCTCTAGAGAGGAAAATGCATTATCCATTAGGAATTTCTTGATTTTGTTTTAGAAAGTGTCACTGTTAAGGCCTTTATATTGGTGGGCAAAAGATTGAAAAGTTTAATACCATAGTGATTTATATACCTTTAGTATATAGAGGTGATCCAGAGACTCGCGTGTCTTGGGATCACAGGGGCTATGCGTACGTGCCCTATTGCAGCAATGGAAGCTATGCTTGACCTACTACCCTCTCGCATATTTTTATCAAGAGGACTGCAGCTCTCAGTGCATACAGACTGAACTCCACTGAATTGGCCAGACCAGGTGTTGTCACTGGTCACATGGTACACAAGAAGTACAAATGGAATTTGCAACCAAACCATCGGACATAATGCCAGCCAGGCTCAGGTTCGATCATACCTTTGAAGTAGTTATAAAAAGCCGCCCTAGGTACGGTTCCGCTGAGCCTCAGCTGGACAGAGGGTCTCTTGTATGGTACACCGATGGTTCGAAAATGGAAGAAGGGGTAGGCGCGGGTGTATATGGACCCGGATGTAGGCTATTTGAAGCCTTAGGTCACTCCCCCACTATCTTCCAAGCTGAAATACATGCCATCAACCTTTGCGCCCAAAGGTGCCTGAGCAAAGGTTTGTGGGGTGCCAACATATTTTCACATCAAAGATCACATGGGACTGCTTTGAAACACTCAAGGAACTGGGAAAGGACAACAAAGTCACACTTATGTGGGTTCCAGGACATGAAGGAATCAAAGGAAATGAGGCAGCTGATCGCCTTGCGAAAAAAGGTGCAGCATCTGCACTTCTTGGTTCTGAGCCTTTTTGTGGGATAAGCAAATGTAACCTGAAGGAAGAACTCAGGTAATGGGAAGAAATTGAAAAGTCCTCCTACTGGAGAGCAACTCCAGGTCAACGACAAGCGAAAAGGTTCATCAACCATTCGCAGAACCGAGCCAAAGAGCTACTCAGCCTCAGCAAACCAGAGCTAAAGCTCATCACAGGCTTTCTCACAGGACACGGCCCTCTGAGGTATCACCTCAAAAAAATGGGCCTGGCGGAGACTGATACTTGCCGCTTCTGTACCAACGCGACCGAAACCGCGGAACATATATACTTTGCTCATGTGAAGTATTAGTCCGCCAAAGGCTGAACCACCTAGAACAGGTCTATCTCACTCCTGCTGAGGTGGAAAATTCAACCGTCAGGAAAATTGTAGGCTTCATCAGAAGTCTAGGGTTAGAGGACCAAAACTGGTTAAGGGTAATCACAATAGATCTTCTAGGTCGCAGTGATCGAGAGGTCTCCCAGCCTATACGAGCCATCTACAATCTACAATCTACAATCTAGTATAGAGGTGAATCCACCTTGTCTTGATTTTTTCTCCATTCAGTTCTCGCATTTCACTTTGCCAACGCTTTGTTACTGTTGATCGCTCTTTGGACACAGAACATCCAACAATCAGACATGAAACTATATACGTCGGTACCTTGGATATTAACTATTATAATCAGTCTTTTATAACTCGTGAGTCTCAGATTATTGATATGATATGAAAATAACAAACATCTAAACCTAACATCAGAGCCGCTTTCCAATTTGTTTCCCCCGAAATGAACCGGTACTAACCTACACATGAACTGAACCAGGATGATGTATTTGGAACATTATTTCTATCCGAGTATTTTCAGTGATATTTTCTCGACGGATTTCCCGTCAGATTGATTGGCTCGTAATTTCAATTTGAATTCTTGTTTGTAGTATTTTTATGATGAAAAAACATGTGGATTATATGATTTTGGTGGGTGCAATGTCTCATCTCGCACATTTTATACTAATAAACAACCCACAGGAAAATGATCTCAGAAATGATACTGCAGCCAAATAAAACACTATCAAGTAGTGAAAATTCTGATGATGAGGCTAAAGTGGATATTACGATAAAAAATTATTCGAATCAAAAATTTTATAAAAGATAGTGTGTTGTTGTTGTGTACTTTGAGGTAGTCCTACTGGTCCATTCTAGGTCCATTCTATATTGTACTCCGATTTCGGGGTCATCTAGGTATCTCACAGAGATATATTCCACTCATTGTTTTGTATTTGATGAGGTTGAACATAGACACCAGTCATTGATGATGAAGAAAAGATCGCTAATTTGATTGATGTTTTTTACTAACATCTAATAAAAAATACTTTCGTTTTTAACAAAACCAAAAATAATCATTTTGAGAGACATGACGCGTCTGACAGACACTTTTTGCTTCGACATACACCTGACTATTCTTGAGTTTGTTACCCTATTGGAAAAGCTGGTGCTCGAGGAGAAATGAGGGGTAGGTAGCATTGGTCAGTTCGAGTGCTCCAAGCTCTTTGTAACTGGAACTGTTGATCAGTTCAAGATCTACTCGAAGTTACTCGGTGTTGTTCGCTGAAGCGATTGGAATGCGGCTAAGGTGGGCACTTCGAAGGCGCAAATTCATTACTGCACGTGAGAAGCCCTTTCGATTTTCAGCTATTTAGTGACTTCACTGCGAATGGTCTATTGTCGCAGTCGTTCACTAATAAATTGACCTTCTTCCTAGAAACTATATATTTTTCAGAAAATCACTTGAGAGAACAAAAAAAAGAACGAAAGTTGACCCTCGCAAGGATTGAACCCCGAGGCCACAGGAGTGGCATCCTGACAGCTCACTGACCCACAAGCTCAGAGATCAGTCATGAGTGACTGATCTCTGGTATGAGGAAAGAATTGATTGTCTCGCAGATATCGCGTGATTCGCGTGTCCTGTACCAATGACCCTGTACACAGTAGTGCGTTTGAAGCCAGGATGATGTATGTAGTGTATGGTAACTGTCGGGACGCACTCGTCACTTTCGTCTTATGTTTGTTAATCTTTGATCTGTGATTCTGTGCCTGTGGCGCCGCCGGCGCCGGCTGAAGAGTAGAAGACACTCTTTCTCTTTTTAAAGTTATGATGAAGTTGTGTATCCGTGGTGTGCGTATTATTAACCGTGATTTGCCATTTGAATTTGAACTTATTTTCGATCTTTCAACAGTTTCAACTATTATTTGATGTTTTCAACCAGACTATATTCTTATAATTCCCAACAATCCCAACCGGAATTACTAAAAACACATGTTAATACTCGTACACTGTTTGAGTCTACTGATTTTTCAACTATTGAAACATAGAAAGCGGATAAAATATCTACAATCCATCGAAAACAATATAAAAATGGCTGAACATCAAGCTTTAGTAGCCGAAAGCAATAAAGTGGATTTAGAATATAATCTGAAGTTTGACCCTCCCGTGTATCGACAAAGGTATGCAAAGGTATATGAAACTCTTATAGATGAGAGATGGCGAAAACAGATCAAAAAATTATGTGACTTTGGCTGTGCTGAATTCGGACTTTTCATGTTCATCAAACAGCTGAGTAGCTTGAATGATATTCATTTCATTGATATAGACGAAGAAACCCTGAGATATAATCTGAGGAAAATATATCCCCTCACTATTGAATATCTGAAAAGGAGGGAGGAACCATTAGAAGTGAACATTTTTGCTGGTAGTGTTGCAGATCCTGATTATCGTTTATCAAACATGGATGCAGTGATTGCAGTTGAATTGTAAGTTATGTTGTAATAAGAATGAAATTGATCAATACAATACCTACAATTTCTCACCCTCCAATTCCATTTTATGTGGATTATCAAAGGGAAATATGTACATCAATGAGTACTTCTGTGAAACAAATTGATATTGTAGGTATTGTGCAAGTTTCCTCCTGAGTCTTAGCAAATTTGAGTTGTACCAACAAATCATTGGTTATTTTATGATCATCTAAATTGGCATATACTCATAGTAAACCAGTATACCAGTAAGAATTCAAAAATGTTTAGAGAACTGTTACTCAATGTGAAAATAGTAGGTTGGATGCCACCAAATATTTTGATTTCAAAATCTGATTTTCTGGTCCAAAATTCATACCTGCCTTGACCCATACTTGAACATACCAATAGCATTTCAGCATCACATGTACAGAGTTTATCCAGCAGTGTATGGTAATTTTAAATCTTTTATTTCTTTTATATACTTACCTGCTGTATAAGTTGCATACAACAATACTGCAGACTAACCATTTCCAGAAAACATGTCAATTGAATGAAAAATACACTCAAAATATCACAATAAACATTTAAAATAGAAATAGTCCAAATACATATTATGGCAACTCAGTAGAATGGGCCTGTACACCTCAGTAGAACTTTTAACTCAAACCATGTTTATAATGATCCTTTTATACATTAATAATGAATGACAACATAATTCAATTGAAAAATTAACTGGGATGTTTTATTTTTGGACATAAATAATAGTACCTTCTGAAAACAGACCCTCTTATGACATAGAAACCTTATCTCACCATAGTTAAAAGAAAATACCAAATGCCCCACGGAGACTGAGGCAACTGATGTATTAATTCTTTCAACTGTGATCTTGAGCTAATTCACTCTTTCAGAAATCATGTATCATTCATTTCTGTCTGGAAAAGTTTTGTTTCAGTAATAGGGTTTTGATGTCACATCATCACCTAGTTTTCAGAGGTCAGAAAAGTCTGGGATTCCCATAATTTTTTATAAAACTAGGGAGCTCACAGCAAGAAACGGTTTGCGGTGGTGAGCTAGTTTGGGTGAGTTCTATCAAATTATCAAATAAAATTTTTTTGTGATATAGGCCCATTGAAAGGAAAATAAAAGATTCACTAACTCTTTAGTGTCTCCAGGAATTACCAGCAAGATTCCATGGTATTTTCTGGAGAATATTCTGAAAGATACCATCAAGTATTGGTCCAGTTGAGTTCTGCTGAGGATGGTAGGTTACCAAAATACATACTTTTATGAGCTACAGTCTCTCAAAGAAGCATCCCTGAAGATTGTTTTTATCATTATTTCCTAAACGGTTTTTGATAAAACATTGATATTTTGTATATAATTTATGATAATTTGCCTAATTTTTTATGCTGAATTCAGAAATACAAATGAAATTTGACAATTTTAGCAAGCTCTTCATCAGATGAGTTCATCAAATCAATAATTGAAAAATGAACTGGATCTCAGAGACAAAAAATAATTATAATAATAATAATAATAATAATAAATAATAATAATAGGAATAATAATAATTTTCTATTCATCCTTCTTCGAATCAAAATCACTACAGAAGGTATCCAAAATAGTTGCTCTTCCATGAATATCAAACAAGTGGAAGAATATTCGGAAAGTTAATAATCAATAACTATCAATTATCAAACAGAAAACATGTTTTCATTGAATAATGAATAAATAATCAATAACTATTGCAACAGCCAAAAAAAAAAAAAAGAAAACCAGAATAATGGTGGTATCAATCCAGCAAATGCTCAAAATGTCTCCCATCATTCTCCAAACATAAACGAGCTCTTTTCACGCAGTGGAATCGTATTTTCTAACATATTCCTGGAATATTGCGAAACTTATCAGCTGCTGTGAAAATTCTTTCTCTTAGCTCTTCCACTGTATTGATTGCTATTGAAAAAACTTCATTTTTCATGAATCCCAGGAAACAAAAGTCCAATGGCGTTGATATTTTTTCACAGTTCACACTGAGAATTGAACAATCAACTACAATGATTAGAATGACAATAATGAAAATAATGATAATAATGAAACTAGACAATTGATATTCTTTGTTTTCGTACATTTTTTGTACCAACCGCTTGATGGGCTTCTTACTAAGCAATGATTGAGCAGAAAAAGTAGTTGATATGATATGATATCTGTGCCCCCGAACTCTCAACAGAACGAAAAAAACCTGCAAATGACTTTGATTGTTAGCAGGAGGTACAAACTAAAATCGACGGATCTGAGCATTTTTTTCGTATCTACGCTATTATATCACCCAAAATCTCCCTGTCAAGTTGAAAATGGGCCATCCTGTATGATGAGAAGGTTATTAAATAATTAACATAAATACATCATCAAAATATCAATATGAAGGAGGAAGAGTTGAAAAGGAATATTCTCAGAATTATGAACATACAAAAATGGATATATATTTATATAAAGCAGAACAACAATAACTCTGATATCTTGGACTATGGATTCAAGTAGATATTAAAATATTGTCAGTGGCATACTCAAAAAAAGTTCTATGGATTTTCTCCAATCAGAATGCTAAATTTGTATCTTCCTGTATATCGATTGAACTGATGAGACCAGTTATCTATGCACACTTCTTATAGTTGACTGCCTTCCAAATTTCAGAGCATTACCTCTCAAGGATTTTGAAATATTCAATAAAATCTGATTCCATTCATTGCCCTCTCATGGCCCAACAGTGCATTATCATATAGAGGTAAGTTGGTCCAATCGACCTATTTTGAACTGTAGTTCACCCTGTTGAATTTAATGTACGTTGTTCTGGGACACCCTGTATATCCGGGAAAACAGTACTCACTCTTTTCCCGGCAACAAACATGATTTGAAATGTTTATATGAAGTTCCAATGGCATCCACCTGAGTATTTTTATCAGATCCTCATTGATGCTGGATGATGTGCATCAACATTATTTACTAGTAGAAGTTCAGTTTCTGACTGGTTTACTACTGAGGCCAATAATAATTGGATGAGGCAATGTCCGGCAATGTGGATTATAAAGAGGTCCAAATTTTGATTTTCTTATTGTTTTTCCCTCGATTTTTCTTAAAAAAATACAAAACATGGTTAGATTTTTATTCAATTCAGCTATTACTCAAGGATATCTATATTGCAAACAATTCACAAACTCACAAAACATGCACCTATGGATTCTCAAAAACACCATCTGTTTTGCTAAGACTATACAATACATTTGGTCAATTTTTATGACAAACTTCAAATGGCCAGAACCCCATATTGATATTTATATTTGTTCTATAGTTACAAGGTGTCTTTCCAGTGTGTATTTGTACTTCTAGTTTGAAAATAGAATTTTTCCTCCAGAAGAACATGTTTAATATTTGAACTTGATTTAGGATTTCAGTGTCAAAGTATAAATTTTTTGACAATTCAGTGTCATTTAGTTGTTTACATGAAAACAAATTATTTTTGACAAAATTACCAGTTTGTTACTTTGAAACTAAGAAAGATATTGATATGTGGATTTCACCATCAAGCTTGTCATTAGAATTGACCATCAGGCATTGATATCTAGTCAAATAATTGGAATTTGTATTTCATGCAAGAAATTTATTCAAAATATTCATAGCAGAGCGCTTTCGACTGTTAAGTCATCACACACCCAAAAAATAGTTAATAGGTTGTCAGACAGTTAAATTTGTTCAACTTTTGATTACATCTGGAATAACTAATGTGGGCTCTCATTAGGCTCAACTGGGTTTCCCTGGTGTATTCACTTGTTGAATTGTTGCATTTTGATAAACCAGACTACTGAGTGACATGTTAGGTAGGTTCTCATAAGACCAACAAAACATTCGCTCCTTAGGGACTTGGTTATTTCTTCCCGATGTCACAATGTTTATCTTCACTAATATTTCATAATAAACATTCTCGACTTTCCTTCGACACATGTCATGTCTTGGATGTCATGTCATGCATGTCAACTTCAAATTTGCCTCCATTAGTTCAGTAAGTTCAATGACAATTAAATCAAGGTCCCTCACTCATCAAGTTCACTTCAACACAACATGTCTCAGCAACAATGGCTGCTTAACAAGATGTAATCCATATTTTACTTAAATGTCGTTAGTTTTAAACTGGACCAAATATATTTTTATGGAAGAATTTCCCTGTTAACCTGACAAGTAACCTCACTTTTATCAATTTCCAAATTCATATTTAACAATTTCAAATTTCGATTTTATTATAATGTCTTTATCAAATCAAAAGTTCATCAAAATTTTTTTTTTCCAGAATTTCCAATAACAATTTCTTTCCAATAGCTAAAAGCAGATTACTTACTTACAGGTACACACTGATGATGACTTAACAGTCGAAAGCGCTCTGCTATGAATATTTTGAATAAATTTCTTGCACGAAATACAAATCTTCCCTTCTTTGGTATATATTCACGTGCACACAGCCCAGCAACCTTCACTAATTGGAATTTCTCCAACAAGTTTTCGATTTTGGGCCACCCTTTACAGTGTGACCCTCTGTGTGACCTATTCAAGACCGTTCTCCCCATATAAAATCCATAACTATATTATTTAATGGACTCCCCTGACAGTAAATCTATTGATTGAAGAACTTAAACGATGAATTTTCCACAAATCCACAATAGACTAATTTATTATGTTACTCAAGGAAGGTTCATATTATTGAAACTCAATGTCAGTTGTCATGCCATACCTACTATGATGTTTTTTGGAGATTTCACGAAATTTGACCACTACGATATTCCAGTATTTTTTTGTTATGAAATTATAACAATAATGAAAACTATATTTCATATGGAGAAATCAGACAAATGTCCAGAATTGATAATATTGTCAACAAAAAGTAGTAGATTTCCTAAGTTTTCTGGCAAGTAACCATAATTATTCATTACCTCCATGACCAGGTATTTCAGAAAAAAAAATAGTGGGAT